ACTTAAGAGACTAATAATATTTTGGCAGTGCGACGTTTAAAGTTACTATGCTTGGTTGTGGGTAATGTCCCCGTTGGAATTAATTTGCCTGGAATTTATTGAGTTGCAATTCTTATTTTGTTTAATTTTAGGAAATAAAATGCAGTAAAACCAGAAAAAAAACAAATTCCACCTCAAGACTGGAAATTTGAATAACTCTTTCTGTGAAAGGGTTGCTTATTAAGTAGTTTTAAAACAGGAAACTAAATTAAAATCTATTTCGTCTGTTGTCTTTAGCAATTCATAAAAATAAACTGGAGAAAAGCAATTTTAAGCGCTTACTTAATCGCTTGTAAATATGCTCAAAAACAAGTAAGTACAGTTAAATGTTTTGGTTTTTTATTCACTTTATTTCAAGCATTGAAAATTACAGTGGACAATCAAGTTATGCTTGATATTCTCAAATAATAATGATCTGCGCTGGTCGATTACTTAATTACTATTAATCTCTTCAATAACATCAATGCCTTCTCGTAGAAACATGTCTTTGGTTAGCATTTTTTTTTTATCGCAGGAGAAATGCAATTGAAGTTAAGGCCGGTCCACATAGAACTTTCGTGTTGGCTTTGGCGTTGGCGTTGGTTTGACAGAACGCACGTTAAAAGTATGCTTGCTACAATGAACGCTTGGCAGCGAATGCTTGGGCCACTAAATAAACATTACTAACGACAGATAAATTAACATTTCATATCAATAATTGTATTAAAAACGATATTTCTTGAACATATTGGATTCAAATGATTGCAATAATATTCAGCTGCGTCAAGCCAAGTACAGAAAGCTCCGTTACTCCGTGCTAGATAAAACTTTGCCATCCGTTCGCTTGGCGCTGAAACAAAAGCGATCTATGTACATATGTGACAGCTTTCGAGCATTTTCGTAGATTTCATCTAAATTGTCAAAGCAAATCTGTCCCCCCAACACGAAACTAAAATTTAATCTGGCATGGGCTTATGTGTTGTAAAGTGTCGTATGTAAACTGTTTGTTATACAATAAAGCTATCGACGAGAATTCAATGGTAAAATCTAGCTTGGAACCCCTGAATTAGTACAATGAGCAATTCCAAGTAAGCTTAAATTTTTCGGTTCTAATGGAAGAGTGTTTGAAAACAAGTAATTTTTAAGCAAAAATCAAAGCCGACTTCAATAAAAAAAAATATTTCGAAGAATTGATAACCCTTCTGCTTTTTGTGAAGTCGGTTAAAAATAAAATATAAGAAGGAGATATTAAGCTCCGACCTTTGCACCAGTCTATCGTTGTAACATCTGTCTATTTTTTTACCAAAACCTCGGAGGAGCCCAGATGGAATTGGTCTTAAGCCCGTTTAATATTTCTCTGTCCGGAAGATAATTTTGATTGCAGCCAATAGATGTGCTGAGCAGACTAATTACGGTCAAGCATTCCAGAAAAGGAGAGACTAGAATTATGTTGTACTTATCCGAAATTATATGTAGGACTTTAGACCATAGTTGCTCATTATAAACAGAGTAGAGAAATATTCTGATAATCCTCGTTCAAATGTCCGTCTCAGCTTCTCACGGCGGTCATAGAGTTTTTCAATGAGTATGCCGCAAAGATCCTGCTAAATTTAAGCGTAATTGGCCAAGATCTACGACGCCAGAAGACCCTACCAGAAAAAAATCTAAATGTACGGTCTTGAAGCGCAATTAACGTCACCTTACCCAAAATCGTTCATGCAGAATATCCATCGTGGCGTCTGCTGGGTGATATGTTACGCAATTCAATACGTTATCCTCATCTACATGCGTCGTTTTCAGACCAAGCGGTAACTTAGGTGGATTTTTCCCTGGTGAAACTCGTGTGGATTGGTGTCAACCCGTATACAGTTACTGTGCTTATTAGCATATTTATTCACCCAAAAATCCGCTTCGTTGCTAAATTTTATTTTTCGACAAAAAATGAGGTCCTATACCAAACGCTCCTTAGAACAGCAAAGGACAGGCCCAGGAACCGACCCAAAAATCCTCTCATTTAAGCTCATGCCAGACCGGATTCTTATGCATCCCGAGAAATTGGCCGCCTTCATGCGTACTTTCACACGAACAGCGGCTCGCTTATTATTTAACGAACCGATTTCCCACCAGAGCCGCCTTTTTAGGATCGTCGCGGTTGCCTTAAATGAAATGAATTGGCGCAATGTTTGCACTAACGAACACTACATATTTTGATAATAAGGCCTTATCATTTTAACGTGTTGCTCAATCGTATAACTTGTCACGGTGATTTGGCATATGTAGCTAAATAATAAACAACAGGTTAGACAGAAGCCACAGAAACAATCTGGCCGTCACAGACTGTCAACTTCGGCCCATCTCAATACAAAAATCCTTTAGAGCCCCAAAGTAAGATAATACGATAACTAAAAAGCGTGAATATCTTAAATAAAAATTTAAAGGATCCACAAGAGCAGTGAACCAAATAAGACTAGGTCTTAAAGAAATTTATTAACTAGATATGACTTCATTATATCTGAGATGGTACGCTTTCTGAAAGAAGTGGGTATTAAAGTTTCATTTCTCAAATATATGTATGTATGTACATGATGTATATATAGTACACATATGCATTTTTGAAGTTTGATAAATTTTGTTGACAGTGACAAAAAAAAACAAAAAAAGATTTGGGTCTTAATCTCCATCTAAATTCTTATCTCTTTATTTATCTTTGGCCTTATTTTTGTATTCATCTTTATCTCTATCTGTATTTTTATCTTTAATACCTGTATCTTTACCTTCATTTTCCTCTTTCTCTTCCCCTTCCCCTTCATCTTCATCACAATTCTCACCTTCATTTTTATCTTCATTGCCATCTTAACCTCACCCTGGGCTTCATCTTCGTCTCTTATGGTCTTCCTTCATCTTCGTCTTCATATT